ATGCAATTTAGCAGTTTAGTTTGGGCAATTCAATGCAGTCAGGACTCAGGCATAACCGTTATTGTTTCCATTTTATCATTGATTCAACCAAATATTTTTGGTTTTTACGCAAGTAAGATCTCGCGCAAAAGAGTGAAACATTTGTATAAGAATTTTGAGTCGAACAAAATTATTACTATTACTAATAAAACATTACATCAGACTTCATGCATGTACAGAAAAAATATTTACACAAATATTCGTAGTGTAGACTAGACATGTAAATAGTAGGTAAACAGTAAAATGTAGCATTGATAGCGGATGTTAAATGTATAAATAAAAGGGACATTAATTGAAATAATGTTTTAGTAATGATATGTCCAATCGTAAATCAGTACATGCAGTACACTTTTCATTACGAAGGCAGAATAAGATGTGATGTCTCCTAAACTAGTTTCTCAGAGTGGCCTAAAGTTCTAGCTTACCCTATCTTCTTATGGACCAAGACATACCACGTCAAAAAACACATCAGAAGCTTCCACGAATCCATGTCCCTCACCAATAAATACCTTTAAAAGAAATTTCATTTAGCACACTCGTACACACTGAGCGATTGTGTGTGTCGATAATATTAAAGCTCAGGCCACGTGAGCAGTGCTCCTCGGGCATGGGAAGTGTTTCTCAAAGCAATGTCCCTTAGACACGTTTCGAGTTCTCTTAGGTTCACAGAGAAGCTGATTCACGTGAACTACTGTTATGGTCTATTGCTTGCAAATCATATAGAAGTATAGTTGGTTTAACCAATAGAGTATCATCATTACATTTACATGCTTCTCTCATGCCTTGTTTGAATTACCGACTCATAGTTTTTTGGGGGTTACAATACAAAGTCATGATGTTATGATTGTGGCCTTGTACTTGTAGGGATACAAATAAAGCAGGACCTACTATTGATATTTCTTTGTCATTTGTCAATGTATTCCCTCAAAAATCTCTTTCACTATATACATACTCAAACACACATTTATAATGTATATATATTTTTTTTTTTACAATAATAAATGATCTAATCCTCACCGCTTAGAAAGTGAGAAAATGAGAGAAATCCCAATCAGCAAGCAATAGACCATAACAGTAGTTCACGTGAATAATTTTGAGATTTCCGATTTTATGACCGAATATGCCCAAATCGCAGCGACCACCGGCCGTCGAGCACCTGCGATTAAGCGGCAGCGGTGACCGCGTTTTTGAAAAAAGGAAAATTCTAATGGTAGATATTATATATATGTTAGGTAATGTTCATCGAGAGACCAACCACACAACCAATTGCCTACAAAAGTTACTGTACTGACTTTTCCATGCTCTATCACGAAAACCACATTGATCTTATTTCTAGATGGGAAAACATATTTAGAGACTCATTAGTACAGATTTAAGTTGTACCAAAACTTTGCTCTCTGGACTCCTAAATAAAAGCTTTTGGAATGCGTTTGTGGCATTTAGCGAAATTCCCATTTAAATGCATGGTATTGTAAATAAATAAGAATGTGAAATTATTTTGATATATATTTTTAAAAAATAAATCGAAAAACTAATTTAGTGATTTAAAGTTTATGCATACTAATCTTAGTCTTTTGACTATAGACACTTTGATTTCAAAGAGAGACATGAAATATTAAAAGTGAACAATTTGATTAGTTGAATGTCTTCCGAATATTCTTAAATTTGATGATACATTTCTCAAACAATACAAAATTGAGACGGTGTTGTTTGATGAAGCTGAGAAAAAGTCAAGTGAAGATATAGTGATCTAAATTTTCAACTTAAAACGCCAAAATTAAAATAGATGGCCACTCGGTTACCTTTCCTTAAGAATGATGGAATCAAAATAAGCTAACAAAAACAACTTCGTCAAGCCTCATGGGGTCCTCAAAACATTCCATCGATATATATATATTCTTGAGGTATATAAAATTAATGGCATCAAATTAGAGGGGTACGAAGATCAACAGAAGTTTTGTGCGGTACGTTTCCAATACGGTACAACCTAAATATTATGTTATTGATCATCGGATAATGTCTAACTTTTATGATAATTATTTGAGATTTCTATGGCTATTTGCTCTGAAATTGAGATATATTAGCGACATGTGGATGTATATCAGTCTTCACCAATTCGTCAATAAAACTTTAATTTAATCACTAAATTTTGGTTTTGGATTAAAATAGAAAAGCATTTGAGCCAAAGAGAATATATCTCAATCACAATGAAACTAAACACAGTACGTAAAGATTGAAATCTAAACTTTCATCAAACCACAATTACGTACATACACAGCTAGACAACTTTCAACGTCCACGATAAATAAAAACTTGCAAATGCAACTAAAAAGGAAAAAAAACCAACAAGCACTTAATTATGGCACAACCAAACAACACACACACAAAACACAAAAGAAAGAAAAAGATTCAATGGGAGTCTCGGACGTGGAAGTAATTAGGGTTCTTGACGACGATATCGTACATGTAAACGGAGTTGAATTTGGTGAAATCTCTAGGGAGAGAGATGAGATCGATCGAGGAGCGTTTGTGGAATTGGAGAAGATCTGTGTCGCCACCACCAAAGTATCTCTCCCACCCAAGACTCTCGAGGATCTGCTCGAGCGTCGAGTAAGATGAGACCACTTCTCCTGTCGGTAAATAGACCATCACTTTCTTTCGACCGTGAGTGTCGGTTCCTGACTGGTTAGGGTTCTCCACAAGCCTTATCACTCCGTTCTTGAACACCCACACGCCTGACATGATCTTCTTCTT